CTCTGCTTTTATGTTTGTAAGACATTTCTCACATCCCAACAAGACGAGACTACATCAAAACCGCAGTTTGCAATATGCTGGTTTACGCGAACAGCCAATGAGACCATATGGTAACACCTATTATTTGGCGATAACTTGGACAGTTTCACGAAAATTGTGTCGGACTTGGTGTGTAAACAGTCAGCTAGTAAGTCCTAGTCGTATAAAGTGAAGTTCGAACGCCAAACCTCAATATTTCTAGAGAAAATCAAGTTTTAGTGTAAATATTAGATAGTCAAAATTTTCGAATGACATTCATTTTCAATTTTCCGCAACTTTCAGTGTTTCTTGGCATTGCATTTAGTAAGTTAGTGTTAACTTATGTGCATCAACCATATTTAGTACCCGGGGTACACCTAGAAAACTGATGAAGAAATCAGACTCCTCAACAGACCAATGTGACTATATGGTAACAGCTTGTTTCTCATCCAAGAAACGTCGCGCAAAGTTCGGGATCGACCTTGTAGGGTTCAAATAGATGCAAATAGATGAAAAATACAGAAAACAATTTTTGGTCTCATAAAGGGAATAGTCTGGGTAATACAGGGTCAAGTACATGAGTTTTTCCTGTGCCTGGCATATCTTGCACAAAAACAAAGTGCGGTTTAATATTTTTCTTAGATTTAATATCTGAAATTAATTTTTTCACAAAATTGATAATCTTTTTTTGCTTAAAATTTAGCATCTCAATGTCATATGGAGTGTTATCCTCTACATAATAATCTGCTCGCAGCTTTTCATTTACCACTTGTATAGTTTCAATGTTTAGTTTATCGGCTAACTTATCCCAATGGTAAGCTTCACAACTTTTCAACTCAATGTTTTTATGATATAAATTAGGATTAAAGCTGGTTAAGATGGATTCATTATCTCTTAACTTTGAATTACTCAAAATGTTATGATTGCCACCTTCATCCTCACTTCCACTTTCAAATGCATTCTCATCATCGAGAAAGGTAATGTAACTGTCAATTAGTTTATCACAGCACTCCATAATCACAGTATCTATTACAGATACATCACCTAAAGTTCTCCATGGCAAAAAGTACTGTGCCATTATTTCATAATAAAGAGAAAGATGGCTATCTCTCACAGGCTTAGAAAAATATCTCACTACAGCTGAACACCTTCTTTTTTGCCAGGATCCATGGATCAACTTATAATGTTTGCATATTTCAAATAGTGAAAGTGATTCAAGTGAACTACATCTTTTTGCATAAAGATCAATAACATTATTTCTTCTATATGACGTTGTCAATGTTAACCAATCTATGCATCTCAAATTGATAACAATGAAATCGCGAGAACTGTGGTAAAACTTAAACCCCATAAGGTAATTTCTTGGGCACAGTAATCACGTTCACTGCAAAGAACTTAGTAACAGTTTTCATATAGCTTTCTTACAAGGGTCAGAATCATCACATTTTTTGTGAACTATGTTAGTTAAGATATCATTGTAAGACTCTGACTTGATCTCACCTTTTGAAGCATATTTAGCTATATATTTATATACAATCCCTTTATTCAATATCGGTGACATATCCATATTAGACTTCCAAGTTTGCGAAACCCATGGATTATATTTGTTAACGAGGGAATCATTCCTTAAAAAATTAATATCAAACACATGACCATCTTTGATTTCTATAGATGTCTCATCTACAAGCGGTTTAGGAAACTTATATCTGCATTCCATCTTTTTGGTTTGTGAACACTGCCTTAAACAATGACTTTTTCGACATTTAGTATGTCTTTATACATGGTTTATTAATTGATGCAGATCTTCTTCTAAATTTTCTATTTCATGCAATGACATTTGGCACGGATGAGTTAAATTAGGCTTAATATGTATGTCAGGGTTCTGGCATGAAATTAAGTTATTGTAGACGTCTGTAACAACCTGCATTTCCTCTTCATTCATATTGACTTTTATTACAGGAGCATCCTTAAACCAAGCTATTCCATGACAGTGGATGGCCCCACGATGTTGGTATTCATACCTGTACCAAATATCAGTAACATGAAAATGATTTTTAAAGGATTTTTCAAGGAAAAATTTCGACCTAGCATAAAAAAAGCATCAGCAATCAAAGAATTTTTAGAGAGTAGATCATTGCGTTGTTACATAGTTAAATTCTTGACATCATGTCCAAGTAACCTGTAAAGATCTGGCCAGTAAAATCAGCACTACTTAGTGTGAAAAAAACTGTAGGTGTCCCAAGCTGATTCACCATATCAAGTAGTTCACCACATCGTGATTTCCAATAAGCTTTAGTTGTCCTAAGACGAGATCCATAATGCATGACTTGACATACCACAGAAGGATTTTTTCTTTAAAAATCTTTCAATTGAACAATTGTCATCTTAGAAAAAAAACTATTTTTTTTAACATAAATGTTGCCTATGTTTAGAGCAGTCCACCTCATTTCGCTGTTCATAATGAAATAACGAAATCTCTCGTCTTGAGCAAATCGTGAATCACAGTACAACATTAAATGCCTTATGTAATCTTTTAGTGACACCTTTTGTATACGTGGCATAGAAAAGTCAGCCTTACCATATGGAAACAGATGAGGAAACGCTAAAGATATAAAACCAGGTGAACTAAATTCATTGACTGGTGTTTTCCCAATGGATGGCCAAATTAAGACATTGTCTAAAGATTTTTTTAAAGAAGAATCCATCAGCTCAGGAACATCAGTATATGAAAAATTAATTTCACTGTCTTCATCATCAGTAATATCAGAAGAATCGTCAGTTGTGTTATCATCAATATTCTCAAAATCAGCAGGAAAAGTAATATCAGTTTCAACCTTTTGTAACTGGTCATACACATTATCATGTATTGGAAGTGAATCAAGGTTTGCATAACCTATTTTGATATCAGAATAATTCGGATTATTAGCTTTCAACCATAGCAATGCAGCCAAAACTACAGGTTTCCTGACAACAAAATCCTGTAAAACTATGTTCTCAGACAACTTTACAATCACTACATTATTTAAGTTTGATACCAAATGTGGAAGTTTCTCTGCCACTGACTGAACATCTTGAGAAAAATTTATGACCTGGCCAGAATACTTATACTGACATTCCTTAAATGTGTATAGTGACATAACAGTGTGAATACGAGCTATGAGCTGTCTCTCAATAAAGGTCAAATTTTGTAATTCTAATGGTACGCTCATTGGATTCATATCGTTTTCATCAAAAAAGGGATCACAATTAGGCCCACATTTTTTTTTTGAGTAGTGAGATATCATTTTCTTCTTATGACACTTAGGACACACAAACCAAGTTAAACTTTTTAAGTAGCAATTAAAATTATGTTGATCAATATCAATTTGACCATCAGGATCGTATGGTATACCAGTTTTCTTTTCTAATCTTTGCAACATACGCTTTTCTTTAGCTTCCTGTTTTTTAACATATACTTCTTTTTTTAATCTTGATTTCCTCATTCCTACTTTAGCCTTGTGCCTTTCAGATTGCTTTTGATTTTCTGACATCTTATCCCTTCTCTTTCGTTGCCTTTCTGGTGCTTTTTTTCTCTTATCCATCAAATTTCGATCGTAAAACAATCAGGAATAAAAACATGAGTTAATTAAATGAGATATGGAAAGACACAAAAAGAAAAAATTGGTTTAGAATGCTGTACAATTTCAAAGATAACATTGTAAACTACTTTTGAAAGCACTACAAGAATAAAAACCAAAAATAGTTTCTGAGTTTTTGTTATTCTCTTATATTTTTGAATTAGGACATACAAGATGAACAGAAATACAATCAACTTATTTTTTGTGTGGATTTCGAGAAAATCTTATTTTAAATGCTAATGCCTTCATGCCCCTAAACATAAAGTACATGCCCTTTTCCGAATTACATCGTTCATTTAGTTTGGGTATCATTGGAACCATTTCACTTAATACATTTCTCGGCAAATGAACAAAGCAAAATTTATCATCTACTGACTCATCATGCAACCTCAATCGAATGCTCTTGCCTCTGGTTGTCTCAACTTCCAAAAACTCAGCAATTTTGTAATATTTTTTCTTTTCCAAGCTTTTGATAGAGTTTACGTAGGAATGTGAGAAGCAACCTTATTAATCTTATTAATTTCGTCATCACTAGACGACTTATCCTAAATCAGGACACAAACAGAATTGATTTACTAAATAGCATAAGAAAAATAAAATTTATAACTTAAAGTAATGCCTTTACCTCATCCGACGAGTCTTTCTTTGACTGCTCCTTTTCATGACTCTTCTTTTTGCGTCTCTTAGACTTTTTCTTTAACTTTGATGTTGATGCAGTCGATGATTCTGAATTTTCATCTTTGGAATCCTGAATAATGGGTATTTCATTAAATACACAATTCACATGATATTTTATGATAGAAAAGACAAATAGAATTACTTCTCTTTCAGGCTTCCTCTTCTTAGACGTCTTATCTTCACTCTTACTCTGATTTGAAGAGTTTTTAACAGAGCTTTCAGTAGCCTGTGGTATACAGTAAAACAAATGTAAAATACACTTTTGTAACAAGAAAAAAAGAAGTGAACCTTATACATAAGTAATTGTACCTTATGATCATTACCTTTTGACTTATTCTCCTTAACACTTTCATCTCCCTTGTTGTCTTTCTTCCCTGCCTCAACATCTTTGTCACTATCAGAATCAGTATCTATTGTCATCTGTCATGAAAAAAATTACACAAAAATAATGTCTTATTAAACACAAGACATGTTACCGTAGCAAATTAAAATTTCACTAGAACACTTACTGAAGCTTCTTCATCTTCCAATTGGCAATCTTGACCTTTTGTGCAGATATCCTTAAATTGCTCAAGGAATCGTTCTTCTGACATGTATACAACGACTCTTGATGGAAAATGAAGATGTACCATGGCCCATTGGGGGCGTCCCGTTCGTCCGAAGCCCGTTTGTCCGAAGTGAAATAATCTATTTTAGTAAGTAACATAAGTAAAGTAGTTAGTTACATTATGTTATTTCATTTAGTGGCAGTTCTTGAAATAAGAGCTAAAACAGGTACAGATACCATCAGAAGGGCAAACGAAGTGCCTAACTGCAGTTCCGGGCCTGGAAAAGGGTAGGTAAAATAACTTACGCTATTTCACTAACTTAAAAGTAAATTAACTTATTTATTTTAAATTAGTCTTAGTTCGCGCCACGCCGCCGAGTGGCTGTGGTGTTGTGGTAGACCACGGCCACGACTCTCGGGTCTGTTCGGCTCGATTCGGCCGGTCTTCAGCGTGTCAATGTCAAACACCCCTCTGGAACACCATCGCCTTTTTGGCCCTTCCCTCATATTGCGTTTTAAAGGAACAAAAGAGGGGTGTTTGACATTGACACACCGAAGGCCTGCCGAGCCGTGCCGAACAGACCCGAGAGTCGTGGCCGTTGTCTACCACAGCTACCACAGCCGATCGACGGCGTGGCGCGAACCAAGACTAATTTCAAGTAAATAAGTTAATTTACTTTTAAGTTCGTGAAATAGCGTAAGTTATTTCACTTACCCTTTTCCGGGCCCGGAACTGCTTGCTGTTGGGCACCTCGTTTGCCCTCCTGATGGTATCTGTACCTGTTTTAGCTCTTATTTCAACAACTGCCCCTAAATGAAATAACATAATGTAACTAAATACTTTACTTATTTTATTTACTAAAATAGATTATTTTACTTCGGACAAACGGGCTCACCTCGGCCCATTTTGGGTAAACCTGAAAAAAAAAGTTATGATTCTTTGTGGATTAATGTTTGAAAAGGTTACCTCAATAACTATTACATACCTTTGAAGAAATTAACTTCACAATTACTCTATCAGAGGCTTCTGAAGTTGAAGGTAAACTAAGTTCAATATCCATTTGTTTTGAGGACCTCATCTGTTCAAGTGCAAAAGTAAAAGCATCACTTAAAGACCGGATAGATCATGCAAACTAAAGGCACGACCTGAAATGTCAGTTAGTACCTCACTCAATTTCCGATAATCTTCTATTATCCCATTGAAAATTAAACAACGGATATTAAGATCAACACCATCTTCAATGCTGATAGTATGTACATGCTCAGGACCCTGTAACAAAATATACAAATTTAAATACATTATGTAACTGACACTGAATTCAAGGAAATAAACGTACCATCACAAGATCTTCTTCTATCGTCGTTTCCCCAGGGTCTAAGTAAGCAAACTCCATCGTAAAATCAAAAAGTTCATCCTGTACAAAACAAAAACTCAGTTAAAATGGTAGAAACTGACTTCATGAAGACAGCGGGATAGGAGTCTTCATATACTACTGACTTGATAGTGATTAAAACGTAAAACTATAAAAACAGTATAAATCAAGTAAAGGCAAACAGACCATATCAGGTCACAAGATGTCTTTCTGATACAAGATACAACAAACATCCAAGAAGATAAAGTGCTAACGACAGTCTCTAAATACTGTCACAAAATGACATCAATCATACATGACTACAGATTAGATTATATTGCAATAAACAAGGTAGAAAACTGCAAAGAAAGTCCTTATATTTTCTTATCTCAAAGAAAGTAAAAAGAAATACTTACTGAGTCTGGAGTGTCCATTATTGAGATAAATTTTGTATCAGTGATATACTATTTTCAATACTGTAAATTTTTAAATGAGATTTATAATTTAGTTAAAAAAAGTGTGGAAGCCAAAAGTATTTGTGTATTTGATTTAAAAATTGTTGTCAGGCAACTAACAACAATGGGACTATAGCAAGTGTTTTCATGATGTCACAATGGGATACAAAAGATTTGTTTCAGTAGATACATCTACTATCGTTTAAGTTTTCATGTATGTCATTTTTACAGTGGTTGAGGTTCTCTTGAATGCAGAGAAAAGTTAACCATTGAAGCGCTGTCAAAATTATGAAGTTTTTGCAATGCTGAATGATGATTTTAGACGTCAAAAGAAGTTCCAAAAAGGTAATGACGAAAATATTTCACGACTTTTAGTAGCGTAACAAGTTTTTTCTGTGCTACATACTAATTTTTGTTAGAAATAGTGAGTGCTTTACATCAGTAAGCAATTAAAACTTTTTCATCTACTTCAGTTAGTTTCAGGGTTGATGCAAGACCTTATAGACTAAGATCTAAATACAAGAGGAATGAAATCTTGGAATTGCCTTGAACCGTCAAAACAGGACCTGAACTCAACATCTGAAAAGAAATAAGGTTCATAACTTTCATACATTAAACACAGTTTCAATGCTGTTTGGAAATTTACAAAAAGTTGTGCTCATACATTATTTGTAGTTGAAGCAGAAAATTTTCTGAAGATGTCAATAATGGCTTCTTAAAGTTATAACTCAAAAATTTCTTCATCAAAGTCTTCAAAATAGCTGTAAATAAAGTAGATTGATCAATAGCATACATTGAACACTTGTTATCTTAATCTCTTTAGATTAATATTAATGAGCTGAAACTTGACTTACTGTGGTCCATCAATAACATTGTCTTCAGCAATTTGAATCATTCTATGATGACATAAACATTCTTCTACCATTTGCATGTTCTTGAAGCAAATGTGGCAACGTACTGGTTTAAAGGCAATGTTTTCAAAGAGTTTATGAACATAAACTCGGCTTAGTAATTGCTTGATGATGTTTAAATTTTCTTCTTTCTCAGTACATCCTTCACAAACTTTAACTATTGCATTAGATTTCAATAAGCAGATCTGATATGTAATTGTTGAACAAGAATGGAAAGCTATGGAGTTAGATTGAAATAAGATACCCATTGTATTTGGTCCAAATGAAGGATAGAACAATAACAGGTAGGATAGTCTACATCTCATAAGCTACATTTCCGTGGGCTTGATGCCCGGGTGCCAACGTCGCTGACAGGCCTGAAAGGGCCATTCGTTATCGGCTACACCATGTGCTCTGCAACGTGAAGAGAGTCCTCCTCGACTCTGCTCAGCCCCCCCCCCCCCTCTCTCTCTCCAACTGCTGCACATATAGAGTCGCGCCCTCCCTCCACTCCATTCAGGTCATGTAACCCCGTATAATACATACGCGTCGACGTCCTGCAACTCCTGCTTCGGCCCAGCGGGCCCAGCACCCGGTAGTAGGTGCAGCTACGGGGAGGTCGGGCGATTGGCAGGAGGCTGTTAAAAAAGCGGGAATCAATAAAACATAAAAAACGGGAAATCAAAAACAAGAATAGGGTTGGCTGGCGGGTCTAGCTAGCAGCCAGTGCTTCGGCGCACCTTCATGTGCAATGTAGTAAAGTTAACGCGGCGGGCCTACGGGCCCTCTTGGTCCATTCGACCCAGCGCAAAGCAGCCCGAACCGCAACCGAACACCGCCGCACAAATAAATGAGTGATGATTCTACTTAGATTTACCTGGTGGAGCAACAATTGGGCCACTAGCTGGTGCAGTTCCACCACCTGCGCCCGCAGCTCCTTGTTGTCGCCCTGCTGCGCCGCCAGCTGCTGCTGCATCCGATCCAGATGCGGCTGGCAGGCGCTGCAGGCCGGTGGACCCACCGCCTCAGCAGAGCCGGCTGCACCCTCAGCAGCGAACATGCAGCAGTTGTTCCTTGACATGACAGAGAGAACGTTTCGCCATCTGCACAAGGGAGGACCAGGATTTACAGTGTAAGACAGGGGGCTCCACTCACTGGAACCAGCTGCGAACTCTGCTAGCCACTGAGGGCACAGGGGCGGCGGCGGCGGTGGTAGGGGCTAGGGCGGCGGTGGAGGCAGCAGTCATGGTGGGGGTGGCGGCAGCGGGGGCGATTGCGGCCACGGCGGGGGCGATGGCGGCCAAGACGCCA